TGTAGTTTGAATACTGGAATCATATTAATTGGTCCTCTTTAACAAATATTTAAACAGTTTTTTTTTATTTTTTAATGAAATAAACGAATTATATCGACAATATTAGTATCTGTACTCTTTAAAAATTTGGCACATCTTTAAAAATAATCTAAAATGTCAATAGTCCATGGGTATATTGATAAATAAGTTCTAAATTACAAGAAAATGCATTTTCTACGGAAACTTAAAAAGATAGGTAAAAAATTGTATAATATAATTTGATAGACATAGGTGCTCCATTTAAATTAAACAAGTTATTGCCGTTTGAAGCTAATAATTATTTAAAATAGATTTTTAGACACTCTGTATAAGGTAGTATTATTTTTATTATTGCAACACAATAACTGATCAGTAAATAAACTACAGTAAATATTTAGTATTAAAAACTTTGATACCCTTGGAGAAATGAAGCCTTAACATTTTTACTGCAATTTTACAAAATTGAAAATATTTCAAAAACGGTAAGGTTTAAGTATAATAAATCGTAATCAAATTTACCTTTATTTTAATCGTAGAAACTAAAATTGTAATAATATATAGGGTGTTCCATTTAAAAAAATAAAACTTTGATATTTTTTACTTATTTGGGACACTCTGTAATTATTTTTAAATTGTACCTCTAATAGTACTTCATCGAACCCAAAACTTACAATTTGTAAAAATCTCATCGTTTAGCTACAATACTCCGTGTCGTATGTGGTGAACAACCCTGTATATAAAAAAATAGAAAAATTATGGGGTTGAGCCACTTTTGAACGCACCCGGTATAGATCGCATAGTGATACAGATTTTCTAGAAAATATTTCTCATTAAATTATATGATTTATTTCAAACATAAACCTCTGGTAAAAATATTTCATACAAAGTTCTAAAGCTTCTTCTTTGTACATTTTATCCAGAAAAAAATCCTATTCCACTGTACGCCCGCAATCAATTATGAAATTTCCTTGAAAGTTTTTGTTTCGACGTCAAAATATATTTATTAAGAAAAATTTTCCCGGCCTTCGAACTTTTATTCCAACTTTGAAGCTTACCGAGGCGGGTCTAATATCGATTGACTTATTTTCTATTGTTTAATTAAAAGGAGGGTCTGGTTTAAAGGTTAGTTATTATTCAAAAGCGATAGATTGCCGATGGCGAAATTAATTTACCGGCTTTTATTGGAAGCAAAAATATTAATGATCGGTTGGAGAGTTTTTATTTCAATTCAATTTATCTGAAAACTTGAGTTCAAATTTCAAGAATATTGCAATCAAGTAAAGAATTAATAATAAGAAATAAAGTCTAAATATAAAAGCTCCATCTACAAATAAAGGCGCATTCTCACGACTCGCGTACTTGACAAACATTTGTTATTGGAATATACTCGCCATGTCGGTCACTCGTCGCGTACCCACGCTCTGTCGGTAAACGTAGCCCGAGTCAAAGGATCACAATTATTGGTACACTTGCCAAGTGTAGCCTTTGCCATCCTTGGCCAGCCTTGCCTATACTTGCCGAGGCGCTCAAACGACTGCGCAAATAATTGTACTGTTATATGTATGTTACAGTACAAATAATTGTACTGTTATAGCGTATGTCCCGTTTATTTCCCGATCGTAGTGTTTTTCGACTAAACTGCGGATAATTTAAAACGTTAAAACGTAATAATAGATTATATAATATCAGACTTACATTAATAACCTCAATTATTGGCGAGATACCTAAATCGTTCCCTCAGCAATAAATGGAATGGACAAATGAAGACTACACGGGAAAAAACAGATATATGTCATATTTTCATAGAAATTAAGATAGCGATACAACTTTATAGGCAAGTGTTAGCGTCATTCGAGAAAAAAGAAAGAAATAATACGCTTAGTCCCAGAGATATTACAGCTTGGTTATTTTGCCGTGCAAAGGAAAAATCACAGTAGTCCATGCGTAAATGGCAAAAACCAGAGATGTACTTACGCATGGGCGACAAGCATGCATCTTGCAATTAGTATTAGGTACATGTAGTAAATTTATGTATTCTAATAAAAACCTATTTAAATATTAATTTTCTTCCCACAACAAAAAAATAATAGTTTAGATTTAGGTTTTATACAACCTTTAATTGGACATCCCTGGTTTTTCCCCTGTTTTGTTTAGCATTTTGACATTTTTATTTCGGTATTTCAGAATATGGCTATAATTAGCAATATTAATAATTCAGAACTGGTAGTAATATATATTTTTCTAATTATTCAACCGAAAATAACATATTTCTTTAAAAACACTAAATTGCATTTTTCTCGGCTCCAATTAAAATGGACGAAGCTAGTTTTTCCCGTGTAGTCTTGAAATGATGTTATTTTGGAATTTATGAATTTATACGAAAATGAGCCCTTCATATGGATGGCCAAACATATAGAACATAGAAATCGTATTGCAGTTGTACAGGGTGGGTCAAATTCGACGCTTTTAAATGGAAACACCCTTTTCTATAGGAGATAAACTAACTAATATCGGTGTCTGGAGCTCAATTTTCATCAAAAACGTGATGGTGGAAACGGCACATCAATATCTGTTACCGTGTCGGAGTTACGGGGTGTTTTTCAAAAATGTGAAAAAAATATTCATACTTATTTTATTTTAATTTGGATTACCTAATTAATTAATTTATTTATTTATTTATTTTATTAATTATTTAAGTATTATTCAAGCTCTTACAAAAAATTCTAACAGAAATTCTAATTGAAAAATAATGAAACATTTTAATATGAATTAATGGTATTGCAGTGAAGCGAAATTTTTATTTGTTTTGCCAAATTGCTTCAACTCTACCGTTCGCCTCTAGGTTTCGCTGAGTTTAATTTTGTCTAAATAAATATTTAGTAATCGTATAAAATGTTTATTTAATGTTTCTAGAGAATTAAAATTTAATCGTACCGTAACTTCTGGAGTTTCCCATTAATTTTAAATAAAGAAAAATATAGAAAGCAATTTAGAGAAAAAAACGATCGCGTAGTTTTCTGCTTGAAGGATGCTGGCTAGGTGTGTAGTTCGTCAACGAACTAGTTCCATTGAACTGTTATGACGCCGAAATGAAAAGAACTAGTTCCCGGTTTCTCAAATAACTAGTTCCTCAGGACCTATTCCAGGATCGAGACTGTGACCGATATATAATAATATGCGACGGCGACGGATTGGGTAGGACTGGGCAGTGCCAGCCGTATGTTATCGGATCCGAATCTAGAGGAACTAAATAAAAGACTATTATACGTACGGATCGGCCAGCGCGATCGTAGCCCAATGCTAGGCGAGAGTGGAGGCAAGTAGGCGAAAGGACTGGGAGGAACTAGAGGAACTAATTAAAAGACTAGTTCACGGGAATCTATTCAGTCGGCAGATGCGAGATATAATACAAGGCGACGACGATGGATTCGGCCTTGTCTATTGCGACAGCCGACATAATCACCAGAAAATTGTCATGGATACTGGTTTTGATTTTTAGTTTGTTCTTTGAATTTTTAATGGAAATGTCTCACTTTAGGTCTCTAAAATTCAGAAATATCTTATAAAACGAAGTAAATATTCTGAATTTTTAGACAAAAACAAAGAGCTGGAAATGAAGAAAAATGCAGTTTTTCGTAAAATTTTCGTATTATTTGCTCCAATTGGTTTGTGATATAGTTTTTAAACTCTGATTTGAGTCTCTTTTTTTATTTTTGTATCTGCAATAAAACTTACCTATACCGGGTGCATCTTAAAATTGGCTCACCCCCTATAACTTTTTTATTTTTTCAGATAAAACAACGAGATTTGGTATGTTAGTATATGACATAAATTAGGATTGATTGACATATTCATTTGTTTTAAGTCACTCACTGATTACAACTTTTGATTTTTAAATGGCACCCTGGAAATTTTTTTACTTTATTCGATAGAAAATGACATTCTGAATAGAATGACATATCATATGTTAAGTTTTGACATTTTTGCTTAAAACAAAATTGAATTTTAAATTTCAATCTAGAGTGCCATGGCTGTGTTAAAAACACTAATTTTTAATCAAGGAGTCTCGGAAAATTAGATTTGATCATCTGATGTTATTCGTGTCTTGTCCCGGCCGTTTAAAAGATGCTCAAATCGTATTTTTAATCATATCTCAATTTTTTCAATTGGAACGGGAGTGGCTCATTAGCATATTTGGAAAAAGCATTTTTTTACGAATAATTTGGTACTACACACTTGTATTTCGAGTCAAATTGTCGTTATGAATCGCATGATTCGCAATTTCAAATAAACCATATTCGAAAATGTCAGAAGTTGACATAATATGATATGTCATTCTATTCAGGGTGTCATTTTCTATCGAATAAAGCAACAAAACACCGAGGGTACCATTTAAAAATCAAAAGTTATAGTCATTTCCGGTGAAACAGGAAGTGACAGAAAACAATTGAATACGTCAATCAATCCTAATTTATGTCATATATTAATATACCAAATCGAGATTTTTTATTGAAAAATTAAAAAAAGTTATAGGGGTGAGCCACTTTTGAGACGCACTCAGTATATGTTTTTATCATAAGCAATTACACGACTCTTTATATTTCATACATTATAAAAATTATACAGATCATACTGTGAATAGTTCTGACTGACAACGAAACCCATTAGCAAGCAACGGGGATGTCAATGTTAGACGGGAACTATTGTGAACTAAAGACCTAGTTCAAGGTTCAACTAGTTCCTCCCAAGGAACTAGAATTCCCACCTCTATGCTGGAGTAGATATGCCTATGGACATATTATACCACAAGGTGTCTGACCAATGCAATTATAAATCAGATAATGAAGAAGTTTAGCAGCCGGTACGGTATGTATAGGCGACTTTCCTCTATACAATGCGCCATTATAACCGCTGGCTTAATATTTTACCCTAAAGTCAATTATCCCACTTCAGATATCGACTTACCCTACCAATCTACTTACTTTTTGAATGCATCCGACGAACGCCGACCGGACCCGAACCTGCGGCGACACGACTCCAAAATTAGGAACTCCCCCGAGGTAAAGATTCTGGGGCAGCGACAATTGCGTAAAGGCCCCGGGGGCGAGGATCTCCACCGGCAGCTGATTATCCACGGTCAGGATGGCCAAACGACCCGTCCGGGACAGCCTAACCTATAAAAGAAGATTGCCTTCAGTGGAAAATCATTTAGAGGGCCCTGGTTAATTTAAAATTTATCCATTCTATCGAGAATAGAGAATGTTTTTAATCAGCTTTAACTTTTGTGATGGTTATGATCAGCATATCATATCAGATTTGCTTACTAGGCACACAGATTTATTGATTTAAAGATAAAATTAAACATACAACAGAGAGACAAAATAATAAATGGCAGATAGCAAACAGAAAAAGGAAAATATTTTTAACTAGAAAAATGTGAATTAATCTTAAAATATTTTCTTTATTATTTGATAATAGTCATAAACGACTGTACAGGGTGGCTCGAATTCGACGCTCTTCATTGGGATTTCGGAAACCGTAAGAGATACAGGATCGGTTAAATGGAGGCAAAGTTGCGCATTTTGATGCTCAATAAAATTCCGTATTGCATTTTTATTTTGTTTTTCTTGCATAAAATATTCTGGTGATGGAATTTTCTGTACGAAACGTCGGCAAATATCAAAGTGACTATATATAGTGTTTTAAGAGTGATGAAAGGATTTAATTAAATTGAAAAAAAAATCAGGTCCGTATTTAAAAAAATTAAGTTGATGATGGTCGCCAGAAGCCGAAACGTCAGAGTCAATATTTAATCACACAGAGTTATAGAGCAGAAAAAGTGGCCATGAAAATGTGTTTTTCATTTTAAGTTATCTTAAAAAATAAAGCCAGGAAACAATAGAAAACAAAATTTAAAATTCCGGAAAATATATTCGGAAGTATTGGGAATTTTTCAAAATGCAATACGGCATTTTATTGAGCATCAAATTGCGCAACTTTGTCTCCATTTAACCGATCCTGTATATCTCTTACGGTTTCCGAAATCCCAATGATGAGCGGCGAATTCGAGCCACCCTGTACATGTCTCATATTAATGTGTTTTCAGTGTTATCTCGTTTATGAGAAGATATAAAAAGATGCGGGTTTAACATTGCCTCCTGATATTTTCTTATAAAACTAAAGACACTACTCACAGATTTCACATAGTAACTTAGTTCCTTAAATACACAGCGAATATGATACATTTTTCGACCCCTTCGTATTTTGGTTATTTTGTAACTTATCTATCTATTTTGCACACTTCAAACAAGATATACCCACTAAAAAAGCAATAATAAATTCAATTCAAATGTACATACCTAGTTTTTTGTACAACTCAGACCTAACATCTTTCTCAACAGTATAATGTTTTATGCACTTCATTATTAATCTTTACTGTATATTTTCATGGATACATAACACTTTATTTCAGAAAAGTTACATTTTAAGAATAAGTTTAACTTAAATAACACCACTGTATTCTTCATATTTTTCGCTATTTTAATATAACAGTTTGATTGTTAATATCAGAGTATGGTTAAATTCAACTAAATTGTATCAGGTTTTTCTGAAATCGAATTCCGATATACTATATTTATATTGACATTTTTTTTTCATCCGTTTCAATGTGTAAATTAATTATTTGTATAAATAAAATATATGTAGAAGCCATAACAATAATAGTAAGCAGTAAAAAAATACAGCGGATATCTGCGAAACACATTGAGGAACACTTTTAATACAAAAAATGTTCATTTTTAATTCTGCATCTAAAAGATAGATAATATACAAGGTGCTATTAAAAAAAAATTAGATAGCATCTTAAATCTTGCAATGTTGGCGAATAAAAATACTTTATCTGTACATTAGGGTGAGCCAAAAAAACTAACCTATGGAATTTATGGGTTAAAATGAACCTAATAACCGAGAACAAAATATCCCCGGAACGCAGAATTTTTAGCTCAATTTTAAAAGGTGTCGGTGAACATTCAAAATTTTCCATTTAAATAACACATAAAAAAATCTTTTCCGTTAAAAGTACCATAACTTTTACGATAAAAAATGTACATCACGGATTCCTGTAGAGCAGTGGTTCTCAATCTTTTGTAGAGTGAGGAACCCTAGAGTGCACTTTTTTTTTCTAGGGAACCCCTACCCTATATTCTTAAATATAAGACATAGTGCATGTTTGGTTTTGTGTCAATATATCGATATTAATACTACTTATTGAGCTTCTAAATTAAGAGTAAATAAAAAAATGTAAGAATTAAGTACATAATATATTAATAACTCAGAAACAGTAAAACACTTAAATATTCATTACAAATATTTTTTTATGAGCTTAATGCGAAGGATGGGCCTGTTTGTTTGATACAAGTTTGTCGATATCGGGTTCAATGTTTGAAAGTTGTATCCGCATATCTGCTTCAGGATTAAGTTTACTTCTTAAGTCGGTTTTTGTAAGAGCATACTTCGAAAACCCTACTTCACAACGGTAAGTTGTAGCAAACGGCAACAATTTTTTAACAGCAAAATTGGCTAATTCTGGATATTCACTTCTAAGCTGGGCCCAAAACTGCAACAATGTAGCCGAGTTGAAAGTAGTTTTAAGGTTTCCATCGGCAGCAACATCAATAAGTTGTTCAATTTGTTTTACAGTTAGGGTTTGATGAAACTTTTCGACTGGGACTGAGAATGGATTGCGAACCCAATCAAGATCCTCTTCTCGTCTTGGAAAATATTCTCTGATTGAAACTTGTAGGTTCTGAAGATGGTTTATTATCTCCGAAGTGATTTCTGCTGACAATGCAGTCTTCGACTCACACACAAAATCATGCAGTGTAGGAAAGCACTCCGAGATTCCTCTGTTTATACACGATTCCCAAAACTGTATTTTATTTAACTTGGCCTGGATTTTGTCATATAAGGAGATTACTGTTACAGAAGTTCCCTGGAGTGATAAATTTAATTCATTAAGGCTTGAAAAGACATCGGCAAGATATGCCAAACATTGTAACCACTTGATGTCAGTTATTCTTGATGATAATTCAAATGAAGAGTCATTAAGAAACACCATCACCTCATTTCGCAGAGTAAACAGGCGAACCAATACTTTTCCTCGCGATAACCATCGCACTTCGGTGTGAAGCAAAAGCGTGGTGAATTGGCTACCCATTTCTTCACAAAGAACAGCAAAAATTCGTGAATTTAGAGGCCTGGACTTTATAAAATTTACAATTTTTACTGCTTCATCCAAAACGTTTTTAAGAACGGGAGGAATTTTTTTTACTGCCAATGCTTGTCTATGAATAATACAATGGCTACTTTCAATTTCTGGAACGACATTTTTAACACGTGCAACAAATCCAGAATATTTACCAGTCATTGCTTTTGCACCGTCAGTGCAGATATTAATGCACTGATTCCAATTAAGTTCTTTTTCAGTGATATAAGAATCGATCATCTTAAAAATTTCCTCGCCGGTTGTATGGGTCTTCAAAGGTTTGCAAAGTAACATTTCTTCTTCTGCAGAGTTGTTGTGTATGTACCTCACAATAACAAGCAATACTGCACACCCTGCCACGTCTGTTGTTTCATCAAGCTGTAGTGCATACCAACCACTACCTTTTATCCGTTGAATAACTGTATTTTCTATTTCGTTACTAATTTCATAAATTCTCCTATGAACAGTATCGTTTGAAAGTGGCAGCATTTTTACACTATTACTAAACTTTTCACCAATCATGGTTTCGACAACATCTATTAAACAAGGTTTAATAAGTGTTTCGGCAATTATATGCGCTTTTCCAGCCTTAGCTATGCGGTAACTTACTTGAAATGAGGCTTTACATGCTTTTTCATTAATGCTGCTACCCACTAAAGACGATAAATTCTTTTTACTTTTATTCATTTCCACTAACTTGCGTTGAAAAAAATCCACAGGTTTGTCCTTGTATTCACTATGATTTGTTTGTAAGTGTCTTAGAAGTTTCGCTGGAGCTAATGAACTGTTGCTGAAAGTCTTAAAACAAATTACACACTGGCTGTTTGGCGCACTAGGATCCCCAGTGGAAGCAAAACCATAGGATAAATATTCTGGGCAATATTTTCTAATTTTAATTTTCTTATTCGCAACGGGAACAAAACTTGAAGTTGACGGCTCATCGCTGCTAGCATTACTCCAAATCCCTTCAACAGTTTCATCTTGACTGATGGTTGGATCTTCCTCTACCTCTTGTTTTCTTTTAAAACAACCAGTTTTCAGCCATTTATCCATTTTAAATAATAATTACATAAGAGTAAAGGCAAGAAAAACAAACAAATCGTCTTTCAACGGGTTTAAAACAAACACTTTCAATGCGAAGACTGCGTAAGGAAGGCTACCGCATAAAAACAAAAGCACCTAGGACAGCGGCCGGCGATTACTAGAAGGCACAAAATAGCAAAATACATACACGGCATTACAATGACTGCAAAGCGAAGTAAAATTAACGAGTCGCAACAAGCGCGCGAGCTCGGGCTCGGATGCAGATCAGAAGGGGAGTACTAAGAATATTTTTTTTATTTAACCATTTCATTGTTGGGTGATACCACAATTTAAAAAAAAAATTATTGGCTTCTTGCGGAACCCCAATCGCCCCTTTGCGGAACCCTGGGGTTCCGCGGAACCCAGTTTGAGAATCACTGCTGTAGAGCATAAAATTTACTAAAAAATCTATATGAGAGTATTTTTTTTTTCAATTCAATAATTCGTATATTTGAAAACTTTGAAAAGTGAAAAAAATCAAAATATGCAGTTTTACTTGCTCTGTTTGCTATTGATTAAAAATTTTCATATTTAGCAAAAAAACTAGATTACTCTCAGATAATTACTCTCAGATAGATTTTTTAGGAAATTTTATGCTCTACAAGAATCCGCGATGTAAAAAAATGATCGGAAACCGTTTCAAAGTTATGGTAGGTACTTTTAATGGAAAAAGTTTTTTTTTACATTTTATTTAATATGGAAAACTTTGAATGTTCAGCGACATCTTAAAAATACAATTTGGGCATCTTTTAACCGACCAGGACAAGATACGAAAAACATTAGACGGTCAAATCTAATTTTCCAAGCCTCCTTTATTAAAAATTAGTA